CCCCAAAACCCCAAAACCCCAAAACCCCAAAACCCCAAAACCCCAAAACCCCAAAACCCCTAAATGCTTCTGCTTGGTTGAAATCAATTATATGGTAAAGTTCAAACTGTTTTTATAGGAATAAGTCTGATTTACATATTATTCATCAGAATCTTCTTCTACATCGAGGTCGAAGTCAGACCATTGGTCTTCGGATAGCTTTTTCTGAGTTCCTCTTGGATTGAAAGAACCATGAGGGTCAAGCTTTGTAAACTGTTCATCAAAGTGATCTACGTCATCGTCTTTGCTCAGATTTGGAATGTATGGAGGCTTACCCGATTTATTGATAATAGTCTCCCATTCAAATTCGCTACTTTCCGTGAACCATGGATGATCCTTAATTTCTTCAGCATCTTTTTCACCAGCGCCAAGTCTCTTAGTTGGATCCTTTATGAGAATCTTAGATAAGAGGTCTTTGGCTTGATCTGAAACATTCTTGTCATTAAGCTCTTCGTCATTAAAGAAATCAATATCCTTGTTTTTAATATTATCATAAAGCGCTTGCTTGTTCTGGTCATAATATGGAGGAAGTCCAGTGAGCATTTCATAGACAATAGACCCGAAACTCCACCAATCAGCTGCTTTTCCAGTGCCTTTTCTCATTAAGGTTTCCGGAGCGAGGTATTCAGGGGTTCCACAAAAGCTTGTAGCTTGCTGGTTACCCTGAATATTCTCTTTTGATAGACCAAAATCTGTGATTTTAGCATACCCATCTTTCCCAATTAAAACATTTTCTGGCTTTAAGTCCCTGTAAACTATGTTATTTCTATGTAGTTCTTCAAGGCCAAGAAGGATGTTGGAAGCATAAAATCTCGCAATTTTTTCTGGAAAATTATGGAAATTTTGGATGTAGAAGAACAACTCTCCTCCGGGTCAGTAATCGAGAACAAAGTAAAGTTTCTCTGGGGTCTGGAATGCACAGTGCAAGCCGACAATGAAAGGATGGTTGATTTTTTCCAAGATCCTTCTTTCTGATTTGGTATGCTCAACTTGTTTCCGAGCTCTAAGATCTTCCTTTTTCAAAACTTTCATGGCATATAGTTCTCCAGTGGTATCATCTGAAGGTTGAACACTGAGTTGATTTGAATCCTCCGTATGAACTATCTTTCTGACAAGATATACTTTCCCATAGGATCCTTTGCCGATGACGTGAATATGTTTGAAATCTTCTGGAGTATGTTTTGTACTAGTTTTCATAACATCGTCCATTGGAAAGTCATCCTCTTGGCTATCGCAATCCTCCTTCTGTTCTTCATCCCCAATGTAAGCTTCTAGATGTAAATTAGCCATTGAATTTGACAAAAATTAGAGGCTGAAATGATCCAGTCATCTTTGTTCATAAAATCTGGTAAAAATGTCTATTGAAACTATGCGATCAAATTTTTGGTTGACGTTTGTCAGACGTCTTGATTCTAAAATTTCCAGAAATATAAATCAAATAACCTACTATCTCTAAATTCCTTTCCATTTAAATGACTCGAAATACCAAGATGAAGAAACCCTACTAAAATCGTCTTATTGAAAATAGTATTTTTTGGTAATATTAAAGCATTAATCCTGGTGGATGTCTATTAATCCGGAAATTAATAAATTTTTCAAATTTTCCAAATTTCTGAATAGACAATATAATTTTGCCTCCAAATTTCTTGAAGAAGAACAGGAATATTCTAGGTGATTTGGATCATAACTCTTGAGAATATTACCTGAATTATCTCCTCAGAGTTAAACCTCATATTTGGATTTACAGATTTAAGTCTAATGTATAAACTCCTAAAAATGGATGGTTCAAAGAAAGAATGGGATAGACAAAACTTTAAGTGGTGACTAAATTGAAAAGTATAGCTCTCAAGGTCTCTAATCGTACTTATTTCTGCAGCAAAAGAAGGCCATGCACTTGGCTGTTCCAGAACCTCGGAGGAAATTCATAATTTTTATCTCTAAATTTCTATTTGGTAGCAGTAATTTGGGTTGACTCTTTAATTAAAAATACAGTGTGAATTTTGAGTGTTTATTTGCTACACTAATTTTCAAGAGTTGTTCAAAAAGTTAAACTTTTAATTGTTTGATATCAAAATCTCACATAGAGTAGAAAGTCGGCTAAATTTGTACTGACACTAAAATGTTTAATACAGGTGAGGAGAGGCTACAGATGTTATTAGTACTAGTAGTCATGTATACTTCCTTAGTCTGTGGGAATCTCTAGCTACTTACCTCTGATAATTCCATCTTGGTACTGATTCGAGCCTGGCTCGTCACTTCTGTCTTCTTCATCTTCAAAGACCATCTCAAAGCTGCCATTTTGATTATCGTCGTGGTTGTAATTATTGTCTTCCATTTTATATTTTAAATAATCAATAGTATGGGACTATATTGGGGTTTTGGGGTTTTGGGGTTTTGGGG